GGATTTACTTTCTTCTGTATTGCTCCACTCGATCCCCCGAGGAGGGCGTGCAGACGAGTTCATATGGAGTTTAATGTCGTCTGGCAAATTCACTCTTGCATCAGCTTTCGAGGAGGTACGCCAAGGCCGCAACTCTTTGTTTGTACATTCCCAAATCTGACATCGTCGAATCCTCTCGAAAATATCCATCTTTATGCTGCGATTGCTGTGTGGGAGGTTGCCATTCCCCGACGTCTTGTGCTGCAGTCAAAATGTTTGTGTTGTCCCAATGGAGCAATAGAGACGATGGAGCATGTCTTTTCCGAGGGACAGTGTGCTACAGCGGTATGGAACTACTTTGCAAGTATGTGTGGGCTTACACAGGTAGGGTCATCACTGAGGGCTAGGGTAGTGGCTTGGTGGTTGTCACCACCGAGGGCAGAGAAAAGGCAACTTTTATTCACAATAATGCCTAGTTTCATTTGCTGGCACATTTGGAGGGCGAGGAACAAAGCAGTTTTCGAAGGTACCAGGATGCAACTGGCTAATATCTGCCCAGCCGTTATCTCAGATATCACGTCAGGTTTGGAGAATCACTTTAATATCAAGTTGGGGTGGGTCTCTTTTCCTCAGCTATATGATTGGTCTGGGCAACAAGGCGGCGGCATTAGAGTGGAGATCGTGAGGTGGAGGGCAAAAGAGATGGGTTGCCTAACACTGAACACGGATGGCTGTTCTAAGGGCAACCCTGGATGGAGTGGCGGTGGCGGGGTCTTGCGAGATTCTTTAGGAAGGCCTATAATGGCTTTCTCGGCGTTCTTTGGTAAAAGGTTGAGCTTGCATGCGGAGGCCCTTGCTTTGCTAACTGGACTTCAGTGTGTGGAGAAGGGGTTCACCAATGTGGAGATTCAATCAGATTCTTAGGTATTGGTGGGAATACTTCAGCGTCATTTCAAGTGCCCGTGGCGGATCCAGAACGAGCTTGATCAAATCTGGGAGCTGGTAGCGGACGTAGCACGAATTTCGCATTGCTTCAGAGAAGCTAATCGAGTGGCAGATATTTTTGCCAATGTGGGTGTCTCTCATCAGCACCAGCCTTGTGTTATCTATGAACACATTTACACGTTCCCAAAGTTGGAAAGAGGGGAGGTTCGTCTTGACAGGTTGAGCATGTCATCGGTTAGGAGGATAAGAGGGGCAAGTGTGCCAGTAAGGCATGGTGGGGAAATTTTGTAGTTCTGGCTCTTTTATTTGATGCGTTAAATAAATAAAAATTAAAAAAAAATGCTTGTATAACTTCACTACATGCTAGAAATAATCAATTCAATCTTGATTTTAATCTTCTGAAATAATAATTGTTAGAACCTTAAATACAACTTTTATTGAACAAAAGGTAAAAGATTTATACAAAGCATTATTTGCTAGTATTAAAATTTCAAAAACTATATGAGTTGTAATCTATAAGATAGGTATGATAAAAGAATAAAAGGCAATGAAAAAGAAATAGTGAAATACATTTTGAAAGAGATGAATGAAACAAAAACAATAAATGTTATTGTTAACAATGCATTGTAATTCACAAGGTTTAAATTTGGGATGCCATTAAATAAGTTGACAAATTTTGAAAACTTTTGGGCTTGATCAAAATTAGGCAATGAATTGATTGGTGCACTAAAAATCATTTTCATTAAATTGTTCCTTAGTTAAACTAGGTAGTTTTCTCATTTTAATCCAGTTAACCCGATTTTGGCCACTACTAAGTTTTTATAACTAATCACTCTAGAAAGCAAATCACTTAACACATTCAACCGTACCCATCATTCAATATAGTCTGGGTTTTCAAATATTGGTCACAGGTCCTAGACCTATATGAGCGTTTTCTCCAAATATCTAACAATTGTGGATGAATCTTGATGAATATATCTTTTAAAAGAAATTTAAGAATTTTCTTGCATTTAGGTTAAAACAGTTACATCTAATTTTAAAACTAAATTGAAAACATAAAAGGAGCAGCAAACATTTGATGTCATGATTTCAATCGTTGGCTCTTTTCATTCCACTTGAAACTTTTTTAAGTTTTTGTCCATATATCATTGTAGTATTAAACAAGTTTTCATTAAAAACATGCTACAAGGAATGGTTTTCTTGCTCGGTTCACTGTATTTCGATTTTGAGGTATCTTATATATATATATATATATATAAATATTTATAGGCACACAATTTGCTAAATTGTATTGATCGACCTATGATGGAAGCCTACAGCAAGTGTCCTTTTTTTTTCCTAAGAACATAATCTTCCAAATGTGACATTTTTTTTAAAAAAATTGGATTTTTATTTATTCAATGCAGCAACTAAAAGAGTCAGAACTACAAAGTTTCCCCACCACGCATTACTGTCCCACTTGCCCCTTTTATCCTCCTAACAGATGACATGCCCAACCTATCTAGACGAACCTCCCCCCTTGCCAACTTCGGGAATGTGCGTATATGTTCATAGATAACACAAGGCTGATGCTGATGAGAGACACCCATATTGGCAAGAATATCTGCCACTCGGTTAGCTTCTCTGAAGCAATGAGAAATTCTCGCTCCGCTACCAACTCCCAGATTTGTTCCACCTCGTTCCGGATCCGCCACGAGCACTTGAAATGCCGCTGAAGTATTCCCACCAATACCTGGGAATCTGATTGTATCTGCACATTGGAGAACCCCTTCTCCACACACAACTGAAGTCAGTTAGCAAAGCGAGGGCCTCTGCGTGCAAGCTCAGACTTTTACCAAAGAACGCTGAGAAAGCCATTATAGGCCTTCCTAAAGAATCTCGCAAGACCCTGCCATTGCCACTCCATCTAGGGTTGCCCTTGAAACAGCCGTCCGTGTTCAGTGTTAGACACCCCATCTCTTTTGCCCTCCACCGCACGAGCTCGACTCTAATGCCGCCGCCTTGTTGACCAGACCAGTCATATAGCTGAGGAAAAGAGACCCATCCCAACTTGATACTAAATTGATTCTCCAAACCTGACGTGATATCTGAGATAACGGCTTGGCAGATATTAGCCGATTGCATCCTGGTACCTTTGAACGCTACTCCGTTCCTCGCCCTCCAAATGTGCCAGCAAATGAAACTAGGAATCATTGTGAATAAGAGTCGTCTTTTCTCTGCCCTCAGAGGTGACATCCACCAAGCCACTACCCTAGCCCTCAGTGACGATCCTACTTGCGTAAGGCCACACATGCTAGCAAAGCAATTCCATACCGCTTTAGCAAGCTGCCCCTCAGAAAAGACATGCTCCACCGTCTCTGTTGCTCCATTGGGACAACAAAAACATTTTGAAGGCATCTGAAACCACATCCTGCACAAGACGTCAGGGAATGACAACCTCCCAAATAGCAAGCGTAGCATGAAGAAGGATATTTTCGACGGGATTCAACGATGCCAGATTTGGGAATATACGAACGAAGAGCAACGTGCTTGGCGTACCCCCTCGAAAGCTGATGCAAGAGAGAATTTGCCAGACGACGTCAAACTCCATATGAACTCATCTACACGCCCTCATCGAGGAACTGGGTGGAGTAATACAGAAGGAAGTAAATCCAGGGGGAGGACTCGTGATAGCAGATGGGAACTCCATTTCCCATTCACAATGAAATCTTTGAATGAGAGAACAGGATTCACCGTAGCTTTGAGGAACAGCGCACCACTCCCCAGCCAATTATCGTACCAGAAATGACATGAGCCACCATCCTGGACCTGCCAGACTAGAGAAAACTCCACTTGCCTGCTAATGTTTAGCATTCTCCTCCATGTGCCCAAGACGCATCTAATCAGTTGAACCTGGCACGGATGAAGGTCTCTACAATACTTAACCCGCATAAGTCTCGTCCAGAGCAACGACCCAGCGTGAAACTGCCACTATAGCTTGTAAGAGAAGGCCTCGTACATATCACGTAACCGTCTAAGGCCCACTCCTCCCTCCTCAACCGGATAGCATAAATGAGACCAGCCAATCCAATGATACTTCATTCCGTCATCTGAAGCACCCCATAGGAAGTTGGCACAAACCTTTTCCAGCATTCTGAACACTGAGGCCAGTAATACCGCAGCCAATTGCAAGTGCACTGGAATCGACATCAATACATGCTTGATTAAAGTTAACTTTCCCCCCGTAGAGAGAAGCCTTGATTCCAGGACATAATTTTGTGTACTAGCGCTTGACCTACCTCCCCCATATATGATGCCTTACACCGCCTGATATATAGTGGATATCCAAGGTATCGAAACGGGAAAACCCGTTGTGAGAAACGCGTGACCCTCTCAATCACCCTTCTGCGAGCCAGCGGCAGTGACGAATGAACTAGATATCCACTTTTGTGAACATTCACCAGTTGCCCTGATGACCGTTGATACGCCCCCAAGACTTGCATAATATCTTTTAAAGCAGCAGTAGACCTATTCGAGAAAATTATCACATCACTTGCGAAAGCTAGGTGCGTCACCGTAGGATAAACCCTTGGGACCCGGAATCCCACGAAACCCGCTTGTCGAGCCAAGTTATTTAAACCCCGTGATAACACCTCCGCCCCAATAACAAACAGCACCAGGGATAAGGGATCCCCTTGTCTTAGGCCCCTGATAGATTTAAAAAACTCGTGTGACACCCCGTTGATAATAATCGAGAACCAGACATTCAATAGCAGTTTCCATACCATATCTATGAACCGCTCCCCAAATCCAAACTTCCCCAAAACATGAATCACATGGGTCCAAGACATCCAGTTATATGCCTTTGCCATGTCCAACTTCAAGGCTATATTGCCTCCTCGTGCCTTCTTGCCAATGCCTGTGATCAGCTCCTGGGCTAGTAAATAATTCTCTGTGATGTTCCGCCCTTTGACAAAACCCGTCTACTGAGGAGAGATAATTTTCGACAAGAGCGGGCCTACCCGTTCCACCACGATCCTGGATACCAGTTTATTAAAAAAATTGCAAAGACTAATAGGTCTAAACATAGAAAAATCCTAGGGATTCAGATCATTGGGAATCAGTACAATGGAGGTAGAAGTGATAAACCGAGGAAGCTCCGCACCACAGAAGAAACTCACTATGGCCTTGTGAACATTCTGAGCAATGATGTCCCAAGCAAAGGTGAAAAACTTCCCCGTGAAGCTATCCAGCCCCGCGGCACTCTCCCCATCCGTTGCGAACACCACTCGCCTAACTTCCTCCAAGGTCGGAACCTCCTCCAAGATCATAGTGTCCTCCCTCGAAACCAAGGACGGAATTAAACCTAGCAACCCATCCAAATTTGAACTTGTATCACTAGAAAATAGGTTAGAGAAATATTCAATTGAATCTGTTGCTATTCCGTTATCGTCCTCCACCCACACTTCATCAGCCCTCTTAACTCTGTGGATCATTCCTTGCACCCTCCACTGCTTAACCACCTCATGGAAGTATTTGGAAGTTCGGTCCCCGTTATGAAGCCAGGTCACTCTAGCCTTCTGACGGCAGTACTGCTCTTCCACCGCTAGAGCCCGTCTTAACTCTGTCTGGGCCTTATTTAGCTCCACCTGTGCCCCCTCAGAATCACCATGGACCATTGCACCCTCGGCCCTCAATAACCCGACCTCTGCCTCTTTTACCGCATCAAAGATATTACCAAAGGACTGCTTATTCCACCCTTGAATTCCCCTCCGAGCTGCCAACAGTTTGGAGCATAGAATCCGTAAGGGGGAGCCCTGCACTTCCATATTCCAAGCCTGGCGAATCACTTCCATTAAATCTGGTCTTGTGGTCCACACATTTAGGAAATGAAATAGGCGCGGTTTATTGTCCTTCCTGGAAGCAAACGAGACCTTCAGCGGGGAATGATCCGATGGATGTTTGGCCAGGTGGACGACCGAGATTGCCAAGGCTACACCCAGACACTCTTTATTGAGCACTAACGTATCCAGCTGTTTCCATATTCGCGCTCGCCCCCTCCTATTGTTGTTCCATGTGAAGTTCGGCCCCAAAAATCCCACATCAAAAACCCCTGCCTCTTTGATGAATGACAAGAACTCCACGCCTTCAGAAGCGACGAAAGGCCGGCCTCCTTATTTTTCATGAGGGGCCGTTATAATATTGAAATATCCCTCAATGCACCAAGACGCGGCCCCAAGTTTATCCCGAAGTTACTAGCTCCATAAATCACGACGTTCCTCCACTAAACACTTCGCGTGGACAAAAGAGAAAAGCAAAGGACCTGGCAACCACGGGTGGTGTACAGATAACGAAATATGCTGACTAGAATTCCCAACTACTGAACAACTAAATGGATGATTAAGGAAAACCCAGAGGCCTCCCGTCAGGTTGACCACTACCAAGTCAAATGATAGCCACATGCGAATGTAATCAATATGAGATATGTGCATTTTTGGCTCTGATATAGCCACAAACTGAACACCATGCAAACGTACTAATTTAATCAACCTATGCAAATGTGATCTCCTAGATACTCCCCTAATATTCCACATAAGCAAATTAATCATGATGGAGAGCCTGAAAAGAGTTATGGGTAGATGTTGCTGACCTGAGCTGTCTATTGGATGGAAAATGAATCCAAGCCCCCCGTCCCCTGGACGTTTTGAACCCCATACCACCGTCGCCAGGGTGATCAATGTTTAGCTCCACCACCAAAGATGCCGAACTAGTTTCAGGCACAACCACCATCCTTGGCGACAAATTCCCCGCTACCTGGGGAAAATCGGTAGCCCACGTGTCGTCCATATCCTCATGCTCCTCTTGTTCAAACCCTGTTTTCGGATAGCCCCGGGGTGTCTTCCTGCCCCTGTATTTCACTGCCATGGATTTGCACCTGATCAGCCCTCTGACTCCCACCCTGGACATCCAGCCCAACTCCCTCTCCTGTCCCACTTGCTATCCGCAACATTGCTTGCTTGTTTGGCAGGGCAGACGTCTCCCCTTCTTGCCCATACACCTTCTCAACTTCACCTCCCTCCATACCCCTGATTTAGTTTTTCTTCATTGATATATGCTGCCCGACCCACTATTGCAACCTGCGTTGGTAGAGAGAGCCCTACTGTACCCTGTGCGTCGCCTACATCTTGCGTTCTGATCACCATCTCCCCAACCTGCTGCTGCTGTGTTTGGCTCTGGTCAATGACATCAGTGATTTGGGAAAGTTGCTTCTGTACTAGGTCCCGTGGCCCCTCTTGGATCAGCGCTGTTGTCGCAACAGCAAGCTGTTCCTGGCCGTGGGAATTTGAGGGAGGCTCCATGATTGGACCTTGCTGCACCATGCGTGTGTTCTCTCTTTGCTTCCATGACCCCTACTCCACCAACTTCCCCTTACAATCAGTCACTGAATGACCTAGTCTCAAACACCCAGAGCAGTACGCTGGTAATTCATCAGGAACAATGTTTTGCCAGAAACCCGTTGCGCCTTCCACTGCCACCCAGACCCTCGAACCCAGCGGCTTCAGTAAATCCACTTCCATGCATAAACTCGCTACACTTGGCCGCGTTCCAGCCACCGTTGCTGCATCCAAGAACAATGGCTTCCCTACTGGACTAACGATGGAGAATAGCGAGTGTTTGTCGAAGAAGTGAACTGGTATAGACGGAAGTGAGAACCAAACTGGAGCTAATGAGGATTCCTTGTGGACGTGGAAATCCGTTGTCCAACGAAATACACGTATTGGATATTTTCCCATTTGCCAAATCCCTCTCGTCCAGATTCTGGTGAAGTCTGGTTCGGCCAAACATCGCAGCAACACGTAACGATAATCCAAGAGACCAACAGCAACATGGTCTGTGACAGCCCCACCTTCTCCTAAGACGAATCAAAGGGTTTGGCAGACTGCCTGCCCAACTCTTGCCAGGACTCGATCGCTCTCATCAAATGAAATAAGATATAACCTCAAGACTAAGCGAAAAACAATTCCCAAACTTGAAACATATACTTACATTCATATTCATCTCAAATAGAAATATAATCCCAATTAGAACAAAAGTTTTAAATTCTTACTACCTCCAACCTTATCCAAGCACTAGCGCAACAATAAAAAAAATAAAATTTAAAAAACTAGACCAAGCTAGTCTGCACAGGACTCACGCCCTCGCTCACATCCCCTGTAAGGAAAACAAAGCTAACGGAATGAGTTAAAAGCCCAGTGAGGTTTCATACACATAGCCAAATAATTAAACAAGAACATTAATCATGTAATAACAAGTAATCCAGAAAACATTTACAATATAAAGTAATGATAATACATTCATTAAAAGGATACATGATCACATGGAGCCCTTCGTTCATTCATTCCACCAACCATTTCCTTATTCCTCCAGCATTAAAAATAATTTCATTTGTAAGTGAAAATCCCTCCATTGTTCTTGCCATTCATTTATTCATTTCATTTTCCCCCTACTAGACACTGGCCAGTCTCCACCAGACTTCGTGGTCATACTCGAGTATACCAAACATTAACCCTGGGTCACCAATCGCCCGACCGAGTCCGCTTTTGGCTCGAGTCGACTGGCAACGAGGGGCAAGGACCCAATTCAGCCAAAGACTTACATTCATGTACAAGTAGTATTTAAACATTTAATCATTTAATCATTGTAAATTTCATATTCATTTAGGTCGAGTGCGATAAAGTACACACTCGCCTAGCAAAATTCATTTTTAGAAATCATTGAAAACATTTAACATTTAATCCAACATTCACAAATAATCACATAGTCACAACAATCCACATAGTCATTGGAAACATAACGTACCAAGAACACTCACCTATTTAAGCAAAAGAACGTTCAAAGTTTCCTTCCGGAGGGTATTTCCTTCCAGATAATACCCTCAATTACCAAGGAACCCTAATAATAACCAAGAGAAAATATTACAGTTAAATCATCCAAAGTTTAGGTGAACCAAAGAAAATCCGAATAACTACTAGTACAAAGTATAAGTATAGTGTTGAAAGTTAAAAGAGTACATTTAAACCAAAGGATAAAATATTTGTAAAACTTATGCTAGCTCGTAAAACTTTGAAATCTCCATTTGCGTCAAAGAAACGAAGAAAACGTATTTCTATTAGTCGTAAATTTCATTTTTTCAAGAGTACAAGTTTCAGCCAGATTCTAACTTATATACCTCTAATAAAGAAGACTTTAATACCTTAGATGATTCAAGTTAGTTTCATCCACAACCCTTACTCAAGTCGCGAGTACATCTACGTAGCCCTCGAGTGCAAATTTGGGCAGCACGCCCTTTGTATTTACCTATTTTCCAGTCATTTATGACTTCATTATTTTCCTCAATCAGCCCCCAAAATCACACACAAATAATCTCATTACAATAGCCATTCAATAGGCTAAAAGTCATTCCATTACAAAACCAAGCTAGAAAGTGACCGCAAATAAGGTTTAAGGTAAAGAACAAAATGATAGGTTTGATGTCTTTTAGCATATCAGTCACAACTGAAGCTACGCTTATAGGATTGGGGTAAAATTTATACTGTTTCGAAGCTAAGACAAAGGGCTACAACTTTCATGAAGACAACTCAACCTGGTTCACAATTTATCTAGGTCGAATTTACAGATTATCGAACCAGAATTTCACTGTCGGGCTGGTTAACAGTACTGGGTTCAAATGACAATAACTCAGGCTACAAAAGTCTGATTGAGGCATTTTTGGATGCGTTGGAAAGCCAAAACATAGAACTACAAATTTCATGTTTTGGTTAAATGCTAATTTGATATGGATCAAGGTGAAAAAAACGAAGCCAGAATGATGAAATGTCAACTGTCCGCAAAACTCTACCTATGGCAGTCACGGGTATTTTTGTCATTTCACATGATACAGTGCTCGGATTGAGTTGAAATTTTACAGAAAGCTATAAAATATGATTTCCTACAACTTTCATATTTTAGGCTAAGCCCAATTCGGCCTCCATCATGGCCGAATGAAACTGGTCAGAACAGGGCATCTTAAGGATTTAAAGTTGGAATTCAAAGCATTCAAGGTCTAACCTATTATTCATGTATAGAACCACTACTCCAACTCCTTATCTAAGCTGATTCACATCATATTCTATCTAAACAAGAAGAAATACAGCTAAACAATTCAAAACCCTAACTCACAAATCCACCATAATCATCAAAACTACTACTAAAACCATGAAATCTGCCTAACAAGCCATAACTTTCACTTGTAAACCAATAAGTAGCACAACCATGAACTAATACCATTCTTACGTAGAATTGGAGAAGCACAACAGCCCCTAGGAAACTTGAACCACCAAAACTCTCTACTCCAAGATGATAATCCACCCTCCTAAGCAACTTCTATGGATTATCTGGTGAATTTATCGGTTAGTTTGCAAGATTGAGCAAGAAAGCAAGCTTGAATGAAGTGGTTTCTTTCTCTCTTTTTCCTCTCTAAGTCTCGGCCACAATGAAGCTTAGAAGACAGAAATTGAGCTCCAAGAAAGGGATAAGAAGCTTAGACTTGAGTTGGTCAAAAATGGTTGGATGCTTGCCAAGTGTCATCACAAGATTACATCTCAAATTTTTTCTTTTCCCTTGTTTTTTTAGTCAATAATTTTGGCCAGCTTGGTCTGATTTAGAGCTGATATTTTATGCACTAATTACAAGGAGATTAAGTTAATAAAGTGGTGGTCAAGTGGTGTTCTCACTCGGTAACAAACGGTACCCGTCGGTTCACACCGTTTTTCCTCAACTCGCACGTACTAGGGTTTTAACTTATAATTCACTAAATTATTATTATCACTTTTAATCACACACTTAATATCATCTAAAACTCACTCTTAATCACCAAATTTAGTACACACTCCGTACTGATTATCCACACTATGAAAAGACGTGAAAACCTTAGTTTACCCTAACGATGAATGAAAAGGAAAAACTCTTTATTCCAACCCTTGGGGATGTAAATGAGTAGTATAGCTATTATAAGATAATGGATTTCAAATAAAAGGGAATTTTAAGAAAAATATGATGGATTTTACAATTCCATAGATTAAAATTAGGGTTTCGACTAAAATATGAGAGATTAAAGAAAACCTGTTAGTCACAAGTAAAACTAGGGTTTTGAGTACAAGTAGGGTTTCTAATCTTTAAAACAAAACAATGTCTTAAAACAAAAATAAAATATAGAAACCGTAACATCCTAAAAGTTGGGATATCACATGGTCCTTCACGTTTAACGTTGTGAAGAACCTCCTTATCTCCTCTAGAGCTGGCCGACCATGGGAGAATTTTCCCACCAATGTCCACCGATAAGGAGCAGCAAGTTTCTCCACATCCGTTTTGGTGAATATTACCGCTGCCTCACCTTTGTAGGTCATCGCTGGACGGAGTTGTATAGGCGAAGCATCTGGTTGGGTAAAAAGCTGCGAGAAAGACTTTCATGCGGATGGCGAGCCTCCATGCCCCTCAGCCGTTGGCCGAAGGGCAGCCATGGGAAGGCTAGCAGTGCAACCCTAATATGTGCGGCAAGTTGCGAGACAAACGAAAAAGTCACTAATCTCCAACAAGGCCAACTTTTTTGGTGCAGCAAGTGTCCTTTGAATAATCCTAATTTGAAATCTCTGTATCCAAACATTTCTATTTTATTTAGCGGCGAATTACTCTTGCACTTTTATGATTGAAGACAAACTTAAGGGAGGAGTTTAAGGAGCTAAACATTCAATTGTGGGGCAAGAGAATCTTCACTCTTTTCTCTCTCAAATTCTTGTATTTATTTCATGAATTGTTGTAAGAATACAATGAACTTTTTACTTGATAATTTCCATTTCTAGCTAAGCCTTTTCTTTTGTCCTAGGGCTAGATCGATTTACTTATATCTTGATTTATGGATTTATTATGGTTGATTGTATAGAGTATTTTTTACTATATTATATATTTTATAGTTTATATTTTTCATGTTTTATATTTGTAATTAATTACCCACTAATTGCAAACCATCTAAAGTATTGAACGAACCAACAAAGTTGAGCATCAATTGTAGTCAGGATTGCATGAACACTAAATTATAGGCTCACAAAAGCAGGTATGCATTTAGGTGGGATCACCAACAAATCTCATGAAATTTAATGGACTTGTAACTAGTTTTACACCACAAAAATACGTATGAAATATTAACAGGCATGGTTAATACATTGCCAAAAGCGAGCATTGCATACATTAGGAAATTGCTCCTAATAAGATATAAGTTAAGAACTTGAATGAACCGAATTAAAGCCTAGTCGTGTATAAGTGAGGAAGTAAACAACTTAAGATTCGTTTTCCTATTTGTTCTACAATTTACTTTCGTTGTTGCTGTTTGTTTATATCTACCTACTATGTAAGAGGAGGGCGGCCGGTTAATTTCGTTGTTACTGTTCACTTGTTGAGATATGGTCATAGGAGAATTGCCGCTATATCTGCATTCTTCACTTATGCATATTTTTTTGAGGAGGAGTGAACACAAATTTTTTTACTCTAAGGCCACATCTGTGATGTTTGCAATTCCGAAACAGCCCACCTGTATTGATTTGTTAGGTCTCCAAAGTGCATGTGAAGCTGGAGATTGCCTTTTCATTGGCCTTTTATACAATTAGATTGAAGCTGGAAGTTTTTGTCTTTGTTTTGGACCCATAGAGACAATTTCATACATTTTTTTTTAGGTATAAAACTTACCATCCATTTGTTTAGC